AAGGCATCACAAAAGTCAGGCAATGCTATCATACAGTTCCTAAAGAATTCATTAGCCTATCCCCTAGCATGCATTTCTAACAATTCACACATCAACGAATTCAAATTCAACATATATAACAATTATGGATATTTTGGGAGTCAATTTCCTGCTCGGGCTCTGGATGACTGTACACATCACATCTTCTTGTAAAGCCGAGGTTGAATCAGAGGTCCATGTTCATGATCCTAAGCCAACAATCAAACAAGAACATGAGAAGAGGCCGAGTCCATGTCTCTAGCCTAACTGTTTTAATAAAGTTTATTTTTCAAAAATGTTTTGTGAAAACATCTCGGATCCTAGTTTGAGTTTGGATTCACACAAGTGTTCCTCTAAATCCCTCAAACCAGGGCTCTGATACCAACTTGTAACGCCAATTTTCACAACAAAAATTTTCATTTTTAATTAAGGTAAAACTTCACATTAATAAAATCCCATTTAAGAAAAACCGTTTGTTCCCAGATACATTCGTCTAAAATCAGAATAATATAATAAACACGAAATCTCCATGGCTGCTGATGAATGTGTACAGTCACGCCTTCCCCTTCCCACGATCACTGCTAGTACCTGAAAAACATTAAACCCACAACTGTAAGCCACAACTTAGTGAGTTCCCCCAAAGTAATACACACCACAATATACATATAATACATGCACAATGGGCCCATAACATAATATTGGATTGCCCTCGAGCCTACATTGTGACCAGCCCGCCTCGCAAGCCCTACAGTACACCCGAACTGCTCTCTCTCTCTCTTTCAGCATACAACTGACCCACCACTAACCTGTAGCATACGGTTGGCCCGCCTGGGTATGTTGGCCTACAACACAAAGCAGGACCGCCTCAACCCACCCCACCACAATATGTCGACATATGTAACAAACAAACAATCAAGTAAACACATAATCACAGTCAACTATCTATCCTACTCTACATGTCTAACAACTCACTACCGTATACCATGCCTCATACATCACACTACACCACTGCTGGTAAATCTCTAAGGAATGCATAGCTATATGTAACCAGAGGTGAGATAGACATTCAAACAGGAGATCCCACTCTAGAGCTACAACCAAACAAGGAACAGGAAAGAAAGCCTAGATCATGAGCTCTCAGGCTATCCTATATGGCTACATACAACCCCTAGGGCACTCCACTAGATGATCACCATCCTATTGTTACTCTAACCAATACACCACTACCCATATATCCTAATATACAAGAATATACACTACAATACATAGTATAGTGAGAAAACTCACCTGAATCGAAGACCCAAGAAACACAACCACACGCTCACCCCCTTCAATGATTGCTCTCGCGAACCGACTAGCACCAAACCAAGGTATAACCTCAATCAATAACCCAATTCCTTTAAGTTTTACCCAAAGTCAAAATTGGTCAAAAAGTCAAGGTCAATGTTCAACAGGTCAACGACTTCCCACGACATGGCAAGCTCTTGGTCAAGTTGTGGCCAGCTAAGGACAAAACAGTCGTTCATCAGAGTATCTTCACAACATGGCAAGCCTTTGACCACGTTGTGAGATCTGGCAGAATGCCAAATTTTTCATTATGTGCTTAATTTTTTCAGATCAAAGCCCAAAACTTCGAATCTACTCTTTCATATTGACTTAATGGATAAAGTTTCCAACTTTATCCATTAGAACTACATACCAAGGCTAGATCTAAAACTCTAAGTCCATTAAGTCCTTAATGAGGCTAGAACTTGATCATGAGCACAAGATATACCAAACATGGTCCTTTTTTCTCATTTCACAGAAGCCTAATGTCCTAGAAAATCTATCACAAGCTTTGGAGTTCTTCAAACTCCAAAAGAATCCAAGAGAGGGACCAAAATCTTACAAAAAGGACTTAAACTTGCACCAAGAAGAACATAAGCCAAGATGAGAGCTTTATACCTCTATTCACTCAGAAATCTGAAGTAGATGGTGGATCCAAACTAGTTCCTTGCTCCCTTGCACCAAGATGATCTCCTTTTTTTCTTCAAGCTTCACCAAAGACTAAGAACTAAGCTTCAAACCAAAGGGACAAACTCTCAAAGCTTCAAGGAGGCTAGGGTTTCGTTTGGTAGGGATGAAGGTTGAATAGGATACCCTAGGTCATGAGTTAATGACTTTAAATATGGAAGAAACCCTAAAAATTCATGGGCTTGGGCTGCAGCTTCTGTCATGCCGTAACACTCTATTTGTCAAGCCGTGACAACCATTCCGAAAACACGACATCCAATTGGCACGTCACGAGGTGACACCCCATTCATCATGTTGTGGCACAAGGATTTTCCCAAAAACCATACCTTTAATCCTCCTAAACTCTCAACTGATCTAATATAGAAAACGGATGTTACATTGACCTTGACCGTTGACTTTTGACTTGGTTGACTTTTAGTAATATTTCTAGTTTAGAAGGTAGACTAAGGGTTACCTTGTATGATTTATTAAGAGGTGTGTAATATCCGATTTTTGAATGTGAGAGCCTGTTAGCTGTCGACTACGTTTGTGAAGTGAGTTTTCTCATTATACTATGTAGGATGCTAGATGGTCTTTATGACTCTTACATGTATGTTGGGCGGGGCCCGTTATGTGGGCGGAGCCTGGTGTATAGTCAGGGCTCGTTAGCTGTATGGGCAATGACCAATGTTATGTATGGTATGTGGTATTTTGGGGAACTCATTAAGCTTTATGCTTATGGTTTGATGTTTAAATGTTTCAGGTACTTCTGGTTCCAAAGGAAAAGACCCGACTTGATCGCACTGTGTCCCCCGGAGATTTATTCCCCACTATATATTTGATATACTCTGATGTTTTGAGAATTTTGTATACATTGGTTGGCTTTGAACCACTGATTGTATGGATTTGGTGGTCTAAAATCAAAAGTTTTTACTTAGTATTTTTGAGATGTTACACTCCCATTGCTAGTAACCTTACTCCATGTATCCCGTACAACATCATTGATCCCATCTAAAAGTAACCATGATTTGAAAATTTTAAAAGATGGTGGACCATAATCGTGAAATGAGCATATCAAATGATGGGATTGTGATATGAATACTTCTCGACCAATCCATAACCAACAGATTAATCCATCGAGCCATAAAACTGTTGCATACAAAAAATCTTTCAATTTTACTTAACCTCAAGCCATCATAACCCCATGTATGTAAATTTACTCCCACCCATATTAAATTCAAATATTAAATTCAAAGAGACTAGCATCCCTAATGAAACTGTTGAGCACCATCATGCTAGATTTACAGAAAAAACCTAAGAACCTCTCATTTATGCATCCGATCTCATTAAAGTCCCCCATCATTATCCATAATCCTAGTTTTGAGTTTTTTTAACCGTAAGATCTAGTCCGAAATTAATGCCCTATCCACTGGATCTCTCGGAGCATACACATTTATCACATTAACCATGATGTCTACACCGATCCATTCTCCCGAAATTAATATAAAAAAATAATTATTTTGAGTTTTTGAGTTTTTTAACCGTAGAGATCTTTTCAACGAATGACCAATAATTTAATTGAATTACATTATAATTCTTCTGAAAACGTTCGAAATCCATAAACCAAACATGCCATGGATTTTTAGAATCACTATGATTTTTTTTTCTAAATATTAGCAACACCGTATATAAAAGGGTTAATGATTTAAAAGAGTAATATACTTTTTGATTTGTATATATTTGATCACTAAGTTTTTTGTCCACATCTGACCATTTAACTTGTTTATTTGTTCATATTCAGTCCTTATAACCGGCTACTCTAGTTTAAGTCGGAAAAATGACTTAATAAGATAATATATTTTTCAGTTTGTACACATTTAGTCCTTAATGTTTTTGTACACATTTAGTCATTGTGACCGCTTTCTTCAGATTTTTGCTCATGATATCCTACATGGGACAATCATTAATGATGTGTTGTCATACGTGGCTCGTCCTTCATTTATAGCAGTAAGCTAATTCATGAATCTGTCAAATAATGATTGTGTTATAGTTTCTCCTAGCAGAAGATGTCTTCGGCTTTGGTTTTATCTATCTCTATAGCAGATAACGAGATTTTTTGTGATTGTTTCCTCCTAACTCGAATTTTCACATCAAAGAAAAAAGAATTAAGGAAGACGCTAAAAGAATTTTCACTTCCAAGACAAAAGAACACCCTGACAAAGAGTTTCATCTATTTCTATAACAGACAACGAGATTCTTTATGATTGCTTACTCCCAACACGAATTTGCACTTCCAAAACAATGAATCTCGTTTTTTGCTATGGAGATAGATGAAACCGAAGATGAATACATCTTCTGTTTGGAGAAAACTACGACATCAATGTTATTTGACTGATTTGTGAATTAGGTTACTGATATAAGTGAAGGACGGACCACGTAAGAGAACATCACATTAATGATTGTCCCATGTAGGATGTTGTGAGCAAAATCTGAAGAAACCGGTCATAAAGATTAAATATGTACAAAAACATTAAGAACTAAATGTGTCCACACTGAAAAATATATTGCCTATTAAGTCATTTTTCCGATTTAACCTATAGTAGCCGGTTATAAGGATTGAATGTAGAAAAAAACAAATTAAATAGTTAAATAAATACAAAATAAAAAGCTCACTGAGTAAATACGTACAAATCAAAAAATATATTAATTTTTAAGTAATATTGTATAAAAAAACTCCACTTATATCTAGCGTTTCCATAGAATATGTGATAGATCTATGCATTTTTTGTTGGTCAAAAAAGACTTTAACTTATAAGGTAGGAGTCGTACTTACACAATTTTTTATCGACGATTGAGTCTTGAAATGTGTGATGAGAGTTTTATTGACAATAGGAAAGCACACTTTTGTCAACATGCCAATATACTATATATTTATATTAAAAAGAGAAAAAGTACACCCATATCCCCTTTAAATTGCTTCCATTCTCTTCTCTCTGGCTACTGTTTCTCTCTCTCTCTCTCTCTCTTTCCAAAAGGTGTTGCTTTTGTGATTATCCTTATTTGACAATGCCTGCAGAAGTGATTCCTGAGAAAACCTTCCATGGGATGTATGCCCATGTAAAAGAAACCACTTCCATCTTCTCCAGAAGGTAAGCTTTCAGTTATTCAGACATATATTTCTTTGTCTTAAATTACATGCAAATAGTGAACCCAAATTCTTTTATCCCCAAAGTGATAGCACTGTAAATTTGATACATTTTGTAGATTTTACAAAAATGGGAGCTTTCTTTTTGATATAAAGTACATTTACGAGCACACCCATTTCCCAAATCCATGGCGAGAAACCGAAATATTTCCTTTTTGGAATAAATTCTCCATCGTTTCAGTTCCCATTAATGATTTCAGTAATATTTATTTGATACATCGTGTAAAATAGGTTTGCGACATTACACATGTGGCAATATTTCTTTCTAATAACATCCATTTGTGACGACGTTAGAACTGTCGAAAAGTGTGGTTATTTTTTCTTAAGACTTATTCGGCTAAACTAACTGAAGCTATAGCTGGTAAAAATTGTTTTTATTTGTATACGAGTGTTAGGACGGATACACTGTAAATTACATACATTCCTTTGTCATATCCGTCACAAGAAACTAAAATATTTACTCTATTTTCTTGTTTTTTCACCACCAATATTAAATATCTTTTTCATTTTTTTTGTACAGAAACTGTTGTTTTTGTTATGAAGCATATTGATTTTTCGGTTTTGTTTTTAATAGAAAAGACAAAACAATCTTTTTTTAATCACATGCTTCTCTGTATGATCCCTGGACTTGGGAATAATAATAATTATCTTTGTACTTGAAGGCAATAGTTGAACTAGAAGGCTTTTTCCCCCGACGACTTTTCAAAGTTCTTTATTCTACTTTACTCTCTTGGTAATTTCTATATTGCGAATTTCTTCGCCACATGTGACGTACCATTAAATTAGATCGTGTTCACAACTAAGAACTTGTCAGCAATCAGATTGTATAAGCAGAAAATCCTACTCGTTTATGGTGCCTTATTTTTATATTATTTAAAGAATAAAATATACTGATATACAGTACTCTGACGCTATATATATGATTGTTTATAGGTTGGAAGGAAAGATTGCAATAGTGACAGGTGGTGCCGGAGGGATTGGTGCAGCCACCGTGAGGCTATTTGTCAAACATGGTGCAAAAGTAGTCATAGCAGATATCAATGATGAATGTGGACTAGCACTCTCTACCTCGTTGTCACCTTTAGCGACATATGTTCATTGTGACGTTAGCCTAGAAGTTGATGTTCAAAACCTAATAGACTCCACGGTTGCATGCTATGGCCGAATCGACATCATGTTTAACAATGCTGGTGTGCTCGGTAATCAATCCAAGCACAAGAGCATTGTTAACTTTGATGTAGATGAATTTGACCGAGTAATGAACGTGAATGTCAGAGGCGTGGCTCTAGGGATGAAACATGCTGCCAGGGTTATGATCCCGAGAGGGAGTGGATGCATCATTTCAACCGCTAGTGTGGCGGGTGTCATGGGCGGCATGGGTCCACACGCATACACGGCCTCAAAACACGCGATTGTAGGTCTAACAAAGAATATTGCTTGTGAACTTGGGCGACATGGGATTAGGGTTAATTGTATTTCGCCTTTTGGGGTCGCAACATCGATGCTCGTGAATGCGTGGAGACACGAGGACGATGATGATAATGAAGAAGAAGATGGAAATGTACATTTTAGGACACCGAATGAGAAAGAAATCAAAGAAACCGAGAGGTTTGTCAGTTCATTAGGGAACTTGAAGGGTACAACCCTAAAAGCTAAGGACATAGCCGAAGCAGCCGTTTACCTTGCAAGTGATGAGTCTAGGTACGTAAGTGGTCATAACCTTGTTGTAGATGGTGCGGTTACCACCTCGAAAAATTGTGTTGATTTGTAGTAAATTGCAGTAACTGATGTTTTGAATAATCGTGTGATTGGTTCTTCAATCGTAAAGAAATTGTTGTTTTTAATCCAATATTAGACATTGCGACAAAAATCCATTTTGTAAAAAGTTGTCAAGTATTATAAGATAAAATGTCTAATGTTATTAAAAAAAACAAAATACAAACAAAACAGTAACGAAAAGTAATACTTACATTTTGATCCTATGATACAAAAGAATGATCGATAGAAAATATTCGAAGTTCAAACCGAAACCAATATATGGAGTTCATCAATCATGTTTACTTCTTTATTCAAGATGAAAGTTAAGAGAAGATTTCATTCAAAACAATGAGAAATGTATCAAAACTGATTACAAATACAACAAAAGGCCATTTGATAATACTCTTATATATGGAAATAAGACGAAGACTATCAAAAGTTTGACCAATCATTACACTAAATATGACAAGTTTTAATAAGGTTTGTGGTGTTTGCATAGGATGAAAATCTTGAATAGAAAAAATTATGTGGTGTTCATGACACTGTATTATAAATATTAATTAGAACATCGTATTGGCTGAATGGATGGATGGCATAAGTATTAATCCTACGCCACTCGTTGTTTCCGCAGGTTCTTTTTTTTTTGGAGGAATCATTATATTCTTGAAGTTTGTTGTTTACCGATCATGTAATTAAAAGAATATAGGCCCCGATTAATTTTGTTGGGTGTTTATATAAAACTCTTACAAAAATTCTTGTCAACCGATTAAAAAGCGTGTTGGATAAAATTATTAGTCCAGAGCAAACTACATAGGTTGGTGGGAGAAGTATATTGAGCGGCCCTTTTGCTTAATGAGATTATTCCATGGCCCGAAAAATTGAAGAAAATGTTAAATTTTAAAGTAGACTTTAACAGAACGTTGACTCTTTGAATTGGTAGTTTTTAGACTCGAAGTAAACGGATTAGTGGTTGTCTTTCCTCTAATAGCTAGGATGTCCGTTTTGGCTAATTGCTCGCCTACTAAAGAGTTTGACATTTGTAGAGGGGTTAGGCAAGATGGCCCCTTGTAGGGACAAGGGCTCCATGTTTCTATGGGTGCTCTCTCTCTCTCTCTCTCTCTCTCTCTCTCTCTCTCTCTCTCTCTCTCTCTCTCTCTCTCTCTCTCTCTCTCTCTCTCTCTCTCTCTCTCTCTCTCTCTCTCTCTCTCTCTCTCTCTCTCTCTCTCTCTCTCTCTCTCTCTCTCTGTGTGTGTGTGTGTGTGTTAGGGGTGGCAATTTATGACACGACACAACAAAAATACACGACACGAAACGAAATTGGGACGAAACTGAAATTTGAATTCGTGTTCGTGTCGTGTTCGTGTTAACTGTAAAAAACACGATGTCGTGTCGTGTCGTGTTCGTGTTCAAAATTCGACACGAAATTGACACGATTTAACAGTTTTTTATTGTGTTTTTCGTGTTTGTCGTGTTATATTTGATAAAGTATTCATTAAATAAACTAGTTTTTAGTATATGATATATTTTTCGTGTCGTGTCGTGTTTTTCGTTTTTTAATTCGTCCGTTTTCGGGTTAGTTAAAAAAAACACGACATCGTGTCGTGTTCGTGTTACATAAAACATTGTCGTGTCGTGTCGTGTCAGACAGAAACACGAAACGATAGCACGATTTGCCACCCCTAGTCTCTCTCTCTCTGTGTGTGTGTGTGTGTAATAATGTGTCTTCTCTTTCACATCTCATGTATGTCGATGATGTTACATTTGTCGGGGAATGGTAGGAAATTAATTTTGTCCACCTTAATAGATTACTTCGACCCTTTTTTCTTTCTTAGGGTTTGAAAGTAAGCTTACACAAAAGTAAAGTGTATGAAAATTGGTGTTGACAATTTGGAGGTGAATACGCTTGCTAACATTCTCAAGTGGGAACCCGTTCGTGTGTCGTTTACTAGTCTTGGGGTCCCGATGGGTGCGAATATATGAAATTAGCCAAGAATCAGACTCAGGTGATCGTCTCACTCTCGTGACCTCGGTCCTACTTAGTTTACCTCTCTATTATTATTTTGTATTTTAGAGCCCTAAGGAAGATTATCAATTTTTTTAATGACATTAGGAGGAGATTTTTTTGGTGAGGTGATGAAGATTAAAAAAAATATGGGTATCTTGGGAGGTGGTCACTAGAAACCAAGAAGGATGGAGGGCTAAATGGCTCTTCTTGCCAAATGATGATGACAGTTGAAAAATGACCCTAACTCCTTTTCGTTCTCATGCATAAAGTCTATCATAAAGTTATGTTCATTGATGGTAAGCATTTAGCCAAGAAATCCATAAAATGCATGTGGTTAAATATATCCCAAATCGACACGGAATTGGAAGTTCACGACATCTCCTTCTTTAATTATTCAAGAGAGTTGTGGGTATTAGGGACAAAACTTTTTTTGTAAAGATTTATGGTGTGCTAATGTTAGTTTGAAAGAATTGCTTTCAAATTTATACTGGTCAAAGTCTAACAAAGACTTTCGGGTTTTGGACACGCGTATTGAGAATGTTGGTGCTGTTTTATGATGGAATTGGTGTTGTTCCAGATAGCTTCGCAGAAGGAGAGAGGTCGATGAATTCTCAAAATTGATTATTGTTGGTGATTTTGTATCATCAATGTGTATTTAAGTGTAATGGATTGACTTGTTGACTAAAAATCAATTTTGATGAAATTTAAACAAGTGAGAAAGGTGCGGAGTGCACACTTGTTTAAGTTCATTTAAGATTTAAAGTAGACTGTTATTTAGGGGCGAAGCCCCTAAACGAACGTGGGTCCGGGGGCAGCGCCCCTGGGAGAGGGGTCCAAGGGGCGGCAGCCCCTGGCTGAGGTCGACATCAAACCCGGTTATATTGCTATATTAAAAATGCATTAGAAATCTGAATTTTGGAAATAAACCCGGTTTTTTACTTTGTTTTGACCCTTATATAAATAACCCGGATTAGTGACAGGTTTCAGACATCAAACTGTTTTTGTAACAGTTTTCAGACATACAACTATCTGGTGACAGTTTTTTGATGGAAAGGTTACTTAACTAGTTTTTGGTCTTCATTTTGATGGTACACACGAAATTCATAACACCCAGATTCTCTGTTCTTGCTCTCATTTTTGAGTCTTATCCGATTAAAGGTTGGGAGTACCACCCAAATACTTTAATCTGAAAGTGTATACACAATTCTCAGAATTTCCAAGCCTTTTTCTATACCCCAATTTCTTACAAATATCCTGCTTGATAAGTTTTATTTGTAGGTGGTCCTAATAAATGACAATGAAATGGTGTCGGTGTCGTTGACTTCTTGATGTCGGTCCTTAAGAACCTGATAGACAAACATGTTGATAGTTATGGTAACTCCTTCACGTGGGTTAACTGGATCCCTTTAAAGATCAATTGTTTTGCTTGGAGAATGCTTAGAAACATGATTCATATATTTCCTACTATTTTGAAACGAGGTGTCAATGTTCAATCCACTTTGTTCCCTTTCTATTGGGTTGATGAGGAAGATATCGATCATGTCTTTTTTTTACTTGTGTGGTGATCTCACAGTTATGGATGGCCTGCGATTCTCCCAAAGATTCTTATCTCAAGTCTGGACTTAATGAAGATGCTAAATTTAAAGGCGGGTGACAAAAGTATTCAAAAGCTATTGTTGTCGATTACCTACTCTATCTTATAAGTTATTTTGAAAGCCCGTATGCTTTGGCTTACAGAAGCGAGAGTCGCGTTGCTATGTTTATGGTAGATAATATAAGTGTCGGCATGTATAATTGGATTAAGAATATGACCAAGACGGGTAATCTAAATTGTTCTAGTTGGTGCATGTCTTCTATTTCGATTTTTCTATAATGTGGCTTGAGTTTCTCGCTTAAATCTTGTTGTTTTCTTGTGCTAATAATATTTGCTTACAGTTAAATCTTGTTCTATTTCGATTGTTCTATAATCTGGCTTGAGTTTCCCATGTATAGAGCAGGGGCGTTACAACCCGGATTCACAAACGGCTCCAATAAAAGTGACGGGGGATCGCTGACAAATACGGGGGGTGGTGGTTAGTTGTGTATTACCCCACCTGTACGATATCGGGGGACATTTTGAACCTACATTATATACGTAGTCAATAACTATCCATATAGTAATAAAATTATAGTAAATATGATTTTTAACATACTTACCGAAACGTATGGGGAGCTAAGATATTGAGAAGGTTTCAATTGCCTAACCGGACAACTTTCTTTTACAACAGGAGGCCCGGGTATATGATTTTTCGCATCCACAATCTCGCTAGCAACAACCTTCTTTTTCTTCTTCTTCTACAAAAAAAATATTAATTTTTTTAATATACTTTAATAAAATAAAAAGTTTAATATACAAAAAAAAATATAACCTCCTTCACGATTCGTATTTGTTTTCTAGAATCAAACAATGGTGGATTATCAACATCTTCATCCTCGTTTACTCGATTTGATTTCTGTGGACTACCAACCACATTCTCATTCCCCTACATTTAAAGAAAAAATAATTAATAAAAAGCTTCGTTAAAAAATTAATTAATACATCATATACATTGAAATTGATAGTAATACCTCAAAAGCTTTGTTAAAAAATTCTTCCAAATCATCACCGTTTCGAGTTCCACCTTTATTTTTCAATCCTCGGATTTCTTCCTCCAAAGATTGAAGTCTTGCCATTATTTCTCGTGCGGTTTTTTTGTTAATTCCCACCGTATGAGTTCCCTCGGTAGACTTGGAAGATTGGCTGTTTCCACAGGATGGATCAGACGAAGTTGCCACCTACATAAATTATTTCATATATCAATAATAGTTAAAAAAATTATTATACTAGATTCTGCTTTTACAAATTTACTTACATCATTTCTAAAGTTGTAGCGTACAGAAGAAAGGACTTCAGACGATTCACAATTCAGACTAGTAATATATGACAAATAATGTGGAGTAGAGGACTCAGCATCTGAGGCAATCATCTTTTTTTTTTGGGTTGATGCGACTCGTCCTGATCAACATCGAAAACATCGCAAACTTTCGCCCAAGTTAACGTCCTAATATGAAACCACCGCAATATACGA